CCCCCCCCCCACCCCCCACCACACACACCCTCTCAGATCTGTTGCATAATTCAATCAGTCACTAATCGGCTGGACAATTAATGTTAAGAAAGGAAGTGATTATTTTGAAGGGGGTTTGAGACCAAAAGTTATATCCCTTAATACAAGACAACGTTATTATGTACTAAACACATCCAATAAAAGCAAGATTGAAGCATAGTTATAAAATATTTGACACGTTTGGGAAATTTAATATTTAATATTTTCCATTCTTATATTATTCGTTTATTTAATGCAAACAAATAGGGTAATTTTGGACGTCGGGCCGGGCGCGTGGTCTAGTAGTTAGCAAGCCCCATCTATGAGTCTGAGGATACATGGTTCATGTCTCGTAAGTGCAAAAACGCAATATGTACTTTTTAAATTCATGATGTGCTATAGGAGTGATGGTCAAATCTCACTATTTGGCAGACAAGTGTAGCTCAGGAGTTGACGGTAAGTCTGTTGGAATAGCTGTCCTCTAGTCTATCAGTTCAAAGTTATGATGTTTGCGCAAAAATTCTGAAACAAAGGAACACGCGTACCTTAAGTTATGAACAACTGTATAGTAAATCAGTCTCTTTTAGACATCATTTTGTTTTTACTTTTATTCTGATGGTTAGAAGTTAACTGATGCTACAGAACTTTATCATGTCATATAAAACAATTTTGGAACCTCAGAATGTCGTTACAATTAATGTTACCACGTTCGGTCATTCTCTACCTGGTGACCGTATATCTTAGAAATAGCCCCGTAGAGTAGTTTTCATTGCAAACGGCTCATTGGTAAGATGTCATTTTCAAAGCAAACCTTCCGACTTGCAGTTTTCCATAATCCATCGAGTGTACGGGAACAACGGTTCCTCAGCAGCCATTTCGACAGTTTGATCGTATATAAATCTATAGATGTTGCGGCCAGCGAAATGTCCAATATGTCTTCAAATAGATTAACACGATTACCTGTTTCTTTCTCCAGCTGCTTGAGGTATGTGATAGTTAAACTGAATAACTTGAGTACACATGATTATTGTCGCTTTTCCAGGTGAAGATCCTTCTTCATTATGTTCTGTATTGTTGCCTAGGGCACGTAGATGGCTTTTGCCTTTGTGTTCATGGGTTACTACCTGTTACAAGACGTCACATATTACTTACAACGGCTGGGATAAGACTGCGAGTTTCTTTATGGATGGTGCTGGTGCCCCATGTTGATCCATATTTCTTTGTTTTCCAATGCCATTAAGTATAAGGGATATTCTCGTTGTGGAAATTCTAAATTTTCGATATTTATGATCAGGGTATATGAACATTTTTGAATCGTTGTATGTTACTACATACCCTTGCCTAATCAAAGAATTTTTTGTGGCATCACACTACTAAAAATTCCAAACTATGCCAAAATGCATTACTGATACATTTCGTTCCACCACGAGTTTATTTTGGCTGTGGTAATTTTGTGACTTGGTGAACTGTATATTCAAAATCATTATGATATAACTACTCAATCCTATAAATTGCAATATGCCTATTTTTAGTACATTTACGATACTACAACGCATTTTGTTTTGTTATTTTTATGTTATTTTGCATCCATCACTTTCTTAGTTTAAAGTTTGAAATTATAAAATGTCACTTTTTCCCTTTCACTTATAGTTCTTGTTAACTTTACAAGTTTAATATAAAATATCGAACGTGCAGTCTGATTTTGTAAAATGCAACGCTTTTAAATAAGTAATCATGATTTTTGAGAATTAAGAGGCTAACACCTAAAGAATAAAAACTTACAAATGCCATCGATATTTGTGTTGTATATTAAAGTCTCATATACTAGATAGTACTATCCCAGTTAACGAATTTGGTTCAAGACAATAACGTTCCAGGCAGTGTTCTTCTGACTTTAATATCAATCTGATATGTGATAGACGAAAAATAATAATTTCTGTAGAACAGCTGGAAGGTAATAGGAAACCGAGAAAAACACTTACTCGGTGATTTTTCAAGATAATGATACAAAAAAGGCTTTGGTGTAGAACGTACAATTATTCATTACGCAATAAGGGCACACGTGCATATATAAGCTTATTATATATAAAAGATCAAACGTTGAAAACCAGTCTGCTGGAAACAGGGCCAATCTTAGTGACTGACCCCTTCTTCTGATAATAGAATGACAACACACACCCTACGTCACTGGCTCGATAAGTCGTGTAAATTAGGTACTGAACTTTTACTTTTGTAGAGAGTCAACGACCACTATGATATTTTTATGGATTTGGAAAGGCTTGTGCTAGAAACCGAGTTCACAGAAAAGGAAAATAAGTGATGAATATACGTGTATTTCTATACAGCCAAGTCTCACGCTTCGTGTAATTAAATAGAGACTGGTACGAAGCTTGCTACTCCGGTATCTAACAAAACACAAAATAATACTTACATCTTTGTAAAATGTTATAATATTAATCATAAACACAATGAACGCCGTCCACTTTAACATACATAAAATTATTTCGGAAAACTATTTATAATATATTTCGGGTTCTAAACTTACAGTGCCACTGACATGGGCGAAAACACCATAAACAAAAGAAAAGAAACCAAAACTCAAAAGGAAGGCAACAATGACGAAACATTGGTTCACGAAGACGAAGATATGGCAGAGAGTATGGTGATAGAGCTTCGGGAATGGGTAACTTCCCAGCCACACCTAATTAATCCGAGGCTAGGTAAGATAAGACTCAATGCTCGTAATCTAAAATTATTTTTATATAATTGTGTTGATTTTTAATGTTCTTGGTTGTGCTACTAAACTGATAGTGCAAGTTTGTTAGGTATAATTATCAATATTGTTTGTTTGTTTGTGTCCCCATAGGGAATCGACCCCCAGATTTTAGTATTGTAAGTCTTTAAACTTACCGCTGTCCCACTGGGGTAAAATTATCAATAGGATCTATAAACTTTTCTTACGATCAGTACCTTTTACTTTCAGTCTTGTGTCATTCAAAGATGAAGATACACGAAGATCGTTAACACATATACACAGTATGTCAAGTCTAATAATAACTTATTAGTTGACTGTTCATAATCATACACAGTATTGCTGTGATTGAATATTAATTTATATTTTAATATTACGTCTATTTTCAAATTATTACGATATTCAAAATAATGATAGCAATTAATCGAAAGTAACAAGGCAATTGCAAAATACATTTTATCATATAATAACATTTTGTCAAAGGTTATAAAGTAGTGATTCTTTTCTCGCACAACTGTAGTGCATATCATATGATAGGACAACCTAATGGTTTTAGTACCTTCCTAGAACATGTTCTATACGTTTACTGAACACTCGCTGGCTTAGGTGGTGACTATAACATTAATTACTCTCAACATATCCCCTCAATTTTTTATCAGCACTCGATCACAGGACTTTGATTTTATGAGAGATCTATTAAATGTGTAGAATTACTATAGTTACGTAAATTATACAAGACACCCTTTGGAAGGGCGGAAAAAATACCAACAGTCTCTTCTAGAGACTCAAGTAAGCTCGGCCAGTTACTCCTACAGCCTAAAGGATAATTCAAATTGTCTAACCCGTACTAATCACCTGGGCCAGAGATAGTCTAAGGGTTTAATACCGTAGTCACCTGAATCATATACCATCCACAGCAACTACGTAACAATCGCCAGCAAGTAGAAGTCAGAGTGGACAAAGGAGCATCCGTCATCACCGTAGATGTTGGAGTCTACTAGGTACACCTGAAAAAGGCTAATAAGAAGGGTTGGGATTTAGTTCGGTAGTTACTCATAGTTCCAGAAAAATATTTTAAAAACTTTGAGTCTGGACCCAAGAATAGTTTTAACGATAATGAATATCGTGTTCAGTTGTTTGATCCCTGGTAACTACTAATACGTAGTTAGCTGTGTAAATAACTTTTCCATTTTCATTATTCCAGTGATTTAAGATTAATGTTTTTGGGTGTTTATTTTCTGGCTTATATGAAGATCAAAATAGTAAACTAAGCAACTACTTTTGTTTGTAATTAAACACAAAGCTACACAATGGGCTATCTGTGCTCTGCCCACCACGGGTATCGAAACCCGGATTCTAGCGTTGTAAGGCCGTAGACATACCGCTGTGCTACTGGGGGGCAACTACTTTTCAAAGGGAACCAATTGCTTTAATTTTTGTGACACAGGAATAAAATACTGTCTTATCCACTTTTAGAATCGTCCTAACAATAATGTGGGATCTATATATTTTGAGTTTGTAAAATCACAGAAAGAGAGAGAACCACTTCTTTTCTATGGAAAAATAAGGTGTTCAAAAAAGAAGCTTGTAGAAAGACGTATGGATTTTGTTGAAATAGTCGATTTAAAAAATAGTAAAAATGGCCATTAGTGTAGTGTCCCAGTGACAATGATCTTCGCTTGGCTTCTTCATGCTTTATCAAACATGTCTCTGTTTTTGTTGCTTTTAATTTAGTGAAAATATCCATATATTTATTACAAGCCCGGTATATTTATATAAGCGAACTTTTGAACTTTCTTTCGAAGAAATTAATTTAAAAATTAGAATTTTCAACTTGAATGGCACAGCGACACATGGGCTAAACAGCCAGGTTAGAGGCTCTATGAATTCAGATATAGCCATCCATATTTTGAACTGTTGAACAAGGAGGCAGTCGACCAGCAGTACCCACCACCACAAGGATTTTTTTCTGGTTACTTGAACCGAATAACAGAATTGGCATTCGATTTTATACAGAACGTGTTCAGCGGCATCGTGTTTTGAATACCTGGACCCTTCGATCCGCAGCCTGACACTCTAACCACTAGGTAACATCTAGTCGTGGGTATTAATCATAACTGCAAATATTTAATATAAGCGATTATTATCCATTTTTGTCGTCTTACGTGCCACCTTTTTAAAGATGTCTAGAGTTTTTTTATTGGATATTTACAAAACATATTTTCAATATTTGTTCTTTAAGGTCACTTATTTATTTTCTTTGTTTTCTAATTTATATATTGATCATACTGGAGAATTATTGTGGGTATCTATACAATTATGTGTTTTCACGTTATTAATATAATTTGTTATTAATAGTCAGCTTCATTTTAAGTAGTTATCTCAATATAAGTCAGTTTTTAAAGGAGTATGATTTTTTTCATTTAAAATCTACTATACTTATTTTAAAAGTCACTTAAAAAATAAACAAATAAGCGGACGAAATATAAGGGTTTGTTTTTTTAATTTCGCGCAAAGCTACACGAGGGCTATATCCGCTAGCCGTCCTTAATTTAGCAGTGTAAGACTAGAAGGAAGGCAGCTAGTCATCACCACCCACTTCCAACTCTTGGGCTACTCTTTTACCAACGAATAGTGGGATTAGCCGTCACATTATAACGCCCCCGCGGCTGAGCGAGCCTTTTGGTTGGACGGGGAATCGAACCCGCGACCCTCAGATTGCGAGTCGAGCGCCTTATCCACCTGGCCATGCCGGGCCCAAATATAAGGGAGACGTGGGCTAGTTGTTACAAGACTTATACTTCCAAAAGTCTAGTATTTATAGAGTTGTGTATACTTTCACATGATTAGGCCTTCTCAATGTTACTTATCAGAAATGAAAGACTGGAGTTCCAGAAGGCTTTCAAAAGATAGGAACAAAAATCGAATTTTTGATCTCCTACGTAACTTTGTTTATGTGCACAGAAATTGCTTAATGCTACATCAATAGCTAGAGCATGTATGGAGCCACAGAGGGTATGTACACGTGTCATTTATTAAGTGAAACGTGGCAATGATGACTGATTTGTTTGTTAGTATGCATGGTAGTAAACATAGTTGACGTGTTGTGTGGCTATTTGTTAGATCGTCAGAAATGCCGCAGCCTCTCAGAAACGCTTATCCTAGAAAAATATTCTGAAGTAACAGAAAGAAACGCAACGACGCTGTATTAACCGAAATACTTGTAAACCAATGGTTACTGGCTGAGAAAACTGAAGACAAAAACAGGAAACAAAATACTGAAACCATCTGCTTGTTTGCGATTGTTTGAATTTTGGGGATAGTTACACCAATTCTACTCCTAAAAAAACGGCTGTAATGTAAAGTGTGCAGAAACATGGGCGCAATGTATAAATTGTAAGGAGTGTCCCCTCTTGCTTCTCTAAAAACGTGGGTGAAGTGTATGAATTGTAAAAAGTACCCCTCTTGCTTTTAGAGAAGCGGGCGCAGAGTACGCAGTGTGTGAAATGGTTCCAACTTGAGTGCGCTCAGATAAATTCACCTCATGTGTGCCACCTCTGTGAGGATTCTATGATTATGTTTTTCTATTATTTCTATGTGTGTGTGTGTGTGTGTGTGCGTAATAGCGACATTTATCTTTTGCAAGTAATAGTGTACCCTACTAGGAGTCACAACACACCTAGTTAAGGACACTTATTGTAACAACTGATGTTTTGTTCAAACATAAGCTAAATGTTAAAACTAGTTATGGGAGAGCTAATGATTTCACATGATGCTTTTTATAAACATACACAATACTCTGTGTGAGTAGAAGACATTAATGGTGAATCTTTTCAGGTTCTACACTGCTGATACAAAATTTCCTATATATCATCCACTACGAGATTTGTACATTAGAGATTAATGTTTAAACACTCGTAGCATGCTTTTTAAAACATCAATAGGATATACGTTATAGATGTCGACAACAGTTGAAACATAATGCCCATAGATACAAAAGTTTGCATGATGAAATATACTTTGCCATACATATAAGTTTGAAATTGTAATGATGCAATAGATGTATATGAAAAACACTGTACTTGCGAGATCTAGTGAGTACGTTTGAGCTTTCTGTATAAGATGTGAAATGGTAGTACTTGCAAATGTACAATACTGTTTTAATATTATTTTTTTAATTCTTACCTCAAGAAAAATAGCTTCTGATAACAGTCTATTGAATAGCATTTTATCATGTCGTCTTCTTTTGATCTTTACAGATGACTGTTTTCTACTCCGATTTCTTAGACACCAAAAGTACAACCTAGCCAAATCACAGTGGCTTCTGGAGAAGTATATAAAAGCACGGAGCAAGCTTCCTCAATGTTTCCAGCAGCTGGACATAGAAGACCCTGGAGTCGTTGACCTGCTCTCCAACGGGTAAAGAAAAACACAAAATATATTCATATTGACGGATACCGAATAATAAAGCTACTTGGAATAAAAATTAAATTATGCTCTTTAACTTCCACAAATCAAAATCTAAACGATTTCTGCCATAACGTGCATCGATGTATAGTAATTTGTAAATATTGATAAGAAATGAGCCACAGCACTATTTTAAGTGTTTAATACAACTTACATTTATCTCAGTCGAAAACCATTCCTCTAAAGTTTCGTCTAAAACCTAACCAGTTTTTAATATTCATTCTTCCTCTTGGCCCTTCTGTCCAGAAGTGTCAGCTTTAAAAACTACTGTCAGTAAATACGTTGGTGTTTAAATGGGTTAGCTTTTACTTTGTAAAACAGCTCTGTAGCTAGGCATAGTTAGTGCCAGATACAGCAGTGGTATTTGTTTTATCCATTCGGCCTTAATCCCATCTAGTTTGGAGTCGGTCGGTAGTTTTCGAAGCCAATAATTTTTACACTCGGGTAGCTGATCCAGTCAACAACCAAAGGTCAAGCGCCCTAACCACCAGGTCATACCAGGTCCGCAACGATATATAATGTCAGATACCATCACTGTTCTGTCCCTTTTTTTGTTTGTTTAAAAATGTACTTACCCTCTCTACAGGGAGGGCCATATGCATATATCAGTACATGAAACACTGAGATGAAAACAAAACGAGCATTTTTATCTCGGTTTCTAAAATCGGTGCACAAGTTTTCTTGTTTGTCATTAATCATTTATTTATTCACGATATCTACGAAGGAAGTATGAGAGTAGGTAGAGCTGGTCTTCCTTTGCATTTAGCGTAGCATTTTCTTCAGTATTTTGATATTCACAACCAATCTTGTATGTACTGATACAATGTCCCCGATTGAAGTCCAAGAGGTGTGCTAAAAAATATAAAAAATTCTCTCATTTTCTTGCTCAATGCTGAAACTATTATAGATTCTATTCCCAGTAATTTTTAGAATTATATATTACTGTAAATGGCAATGTTTTATAAGACATACTTTAAAATTATGTTATGAAAAAGAAGAACCTCAACAAATGTTCATAACCGGATTTGAAAATGTCAAAATGTCTGGCATGATCTGGCATGATCTCCCGTAACTGAACAAGCTCACCCTTTCAGCCATGGGGGCGTTACTATGTTACGCCCAATCCAACTATTCGTTGATAAAGAGTAGCCCAAGTGTTGGCGGTGGGTGATGTTGGCTAGCTGCTTTCCATTAGTCTATTACTTCCAAATTAGGGATGTCTAACATAGGTATTCCTTCAACAGCTTTGCCAAAATTCCAAAAATAAACACAATTTTAAACTGCATTATAGCACTTTAAAACAGAGGTAAAATTAATAATTCAAACTTTTGTTATCTGATAAATTAAACGAATGTGTGCTGTACAAAATAAGTCAGATTTTCAATATTTCTGCAAACATGTCAGAAGAAATACTCCAAAAGCGTATAGCATACGTCCGTCAGTAAGACATGGATCAAAGCCGGAAGTAAATTTTACACTGTAGGGGTCATTGGAATTTATGGACAATTTTCTCAAATGAACGTGAAAATCGACATTCATTATTATCAGAAAAATCCAGTAGAATTATTGGCGTGCTTTGGATTGTCACGAACTATAATGTTCAGGCTGTAAACATTGTAGTTACAATAACCACCAGTTTCAAAGAACGTACCGTCACTTTCTACTGTAATTGGATACTACTGTGACGTCACGTTCTACTTCCATTGGATATTACTCTAAGAATGAACCAGCCAGTAGTTTCTCAGAACACCAAATCCTGGATCTCCCAAAACTCCACCTGGAAATTTATAAAGAGAAAGTTTTGTTTGCTTGTTGAATTTCGCGCAAAGCTACACCAAGGTTATCTGCCCTAGTATTCCCTAAATTTGATTGTTTGTTTGTTCGAAGTTAAGCATAAAGCTACACAATGGGCCATCTGTGCTCTGCCCACCACGGATATCAAAACCCGGTTTTTATTGTTGTAAGTCCGCAGACATACCGCTGTGCCACTGGGGGCCCCTAAGTTTGAAGTGATAAAAAAGAAGGAAGTCAGCAAGTCAAAACCACTCACCGCCAACTCTTGGTCTACTCTTTACCGCCAAATAGTGGGATTGACCTTCACATTAGAACACACCCACGGCTGAAAGGGAAAGCATGTTGGATGTTAGGAATCGAACCCGCGACCGCAGATTGTGAGTCGAGAGCACTATCCACCAGGCCATGCCAGGCTACTAAAGAGAAATGCAACGACGTTGTAAAGCTCTAGTGGACAACATGTGGGGAACAATTTCGCTATTAAGGTTTTGTTTGTTTTAAGAGCAAGTTTACCCCATGAATCAGCTGCGCTGTGCCCACAGTAAGGATCTAATCCTAAATTTTAATATTAGAAGCCCTCAAGCTTAATGCTGAGCCATCGGGGGATGGGTGTTATTGAGATGGACATAAACTTCCTGATAACTTTAATTTTACTGAACACTTCCAAAATAAGAGATGCTACTTGTCAGAAGATCATTGGAAAATCATTTTATATTCAGGAGATCATTGATTTTGCCTTGAGGAATACTCAATAGCCGCATCACTTGAAATTCTTTTAGGCGGGATTAGAGTAAATTAATCTATGATACTTTTTTCCCTTTATTTTAGTTATGTTTTTGTGCGCCAGCAATACCAAGCGTGGCGTGCGTGTATATCAGATTCGATTTTATTACTCATTAGGATTTCTACCAACCTACCCTAAAATTGAAATTATTTTAGGCAGGATTATAGTTAATTAAACTATGAGACCTTGAGCGTGATCAAATAAAGCAATCGAAAGGGTTTGACGTCCTGAGTCTGAAACTGTAATTATACTTCAAATCGGTCAAGAGATGGCGGAGATATGAGCTAAAAGTTTGTACTTGAAAAACTCGGAGCCATTCTATGAGTTGCTATGCTGCGGCTAAAATATTAAATATAATTTTGAATAAAAATTATAGATTTTAAGTTATAATTTAGCTAGTTGGACAATTAACTTAGAACAAAAAGGCCCTTACACTTCCGATAATAATAAAAACAATTTATTTCAACCAACGTTTTGATATTGCGGCTTCATCAAGGCTAGTAGTACAAGAACTGTTTAGGCCAATTATAAAACATGGGCCAGTAATTTGTTAATTTTAAATTTATTTTGTCCAGTGTACATCAATATAAGATATGAATAACGAAAGCCTATTAAGTTTGCAGTTGATCACTGGATAGCGTGACTCCTTCGAAATTTATTTATTAAAACAATTGAAATCAGCATATCTAACAAAAATGTGTCATAAACGTATTCTGAGCTTTACAGGCTGAATAGCATAGCAAGAGTGCTTCAAAATTTCTTTTTGAATTATCAGATAAGTGAAAATTCAGATTTGTGGTATTTAAGATGCAGTAGATTAGTTGGTATCAAGTGAAAACTCAAGAGTTGTGGTAATTAAGATTCAGTAAATTAGTTGACAACAAGTGAAAACTCAAGAGTTGTGGTATTTAATGTGCAGTAGATTATTTGGCATCAAATGAAAAGTCAAGAGTTGTGGTATTTAATGTGCAGTAGATTAGTTGGCATCAAGTGAAAAGCTCAAGAGTTGGAGTATTTAATGTGCAGTAGATTAGTTGGCATCAAGTGAAAACTCAAGAGTTGTGGTATTTAATGTGCAGTAGATTAGTAGACATCAAGTGAAAACTCACAGTTGTGGTATCTAAGATGTAGTATATTAGTTCACATCAAGTGAAAACTCACAGTTGTGGTACGTAAGATTCAGTAGATTAGTTGGCATCAAGTGAAAACTCACAGTTGTGATATTTAAGATTCAGTAGATTAGTTGGCATCAAGTGAAAACTCACAGATGTGATATTTAAAATACAGTACGTTAGTTGGCATCAAGTGAAAACTCACAGTTGTGGTATTTAATGTGCAGTAGATTAGTTTTCATTATTTCAATGTAGTGACACGCACAGTTTTTGATTAAACCAGCGATGTGTCTTAATACATTGTGAATGTGCGGTTTTCGTTTTAGAATATTTTAACTGTATTATTGCTGAAAATTTTAGTACATTCCCCTATGTTTATCTCAGATTGTTTCCGGTTGTGCTTCACTTTAACGTCATTCAGTTTGGTGAGCTGGTAGATGTTTTCTGTTTTGTTTTTATACCCAGAAAAGATGAATAAAATTGGTAAAACCTTTCGTTCTAAAATTGTGATATTTTACATTTTACAGCTTCATTATTTTTATTTAATCACAGTGTTTGTAGTTCGGGGCTTTTTCAGATAATTTCACAATAAAGTATCAATACCCTTAATAATTAAATTATTCGAAATTAAAATTAAGTTTGGAAAGTTTATAGGTCAGATTTGATTAGGTGTTATACGTAAAAGTGAAGGAAGATATAGTGCAAAGAATATTTTGAATGAAGTACATGAATCTAAAGGGAGAATTTAAAAACAACTAAAAGAAAAATTATTAAGTTTTATGATCGATCAAAACAAAACTCATATGATCTTCAGTGAAATTTGAACAAGCTGCAATGTCACAGAATTGAAAGAAGTGTAGAGAAACGTCGGTTTGAAATTAGATAAATCTTTTTGACGAACAAGGATGGGAACTGTTTGAACAAGGGCAAATAAGAAGACACTTATGGCAATTCTGTTAGATTATTTGGATCTGAATATGTTCATATAGTAAAACACCGGTTATGATTGACTTCTATACAAAAGTAAAACGCCATGGTATAATTGCTTTGTGTTAAAGGTTCAAAAAAGGATCTTTACCAAGATATATTCATGAACCCACTGATATTCGAATCTTATTCCACGATCAGATAATTTATTGGGTCATGGGGAGTTAACGTCACTTTATTACAAGAATAAAAGATTAAGAGATTAATTGCTTATTGGCGTTTAGTAACTATATTAGATACTGCTAATAAAATGTTGGCTTAAATTCTGGCAAGTAGTTTATCAAAGTTTATAGGGTTTTAATATCTTTGTTTCAATGTCTCAAACAAAATGTCCATCGGGAATAGATGTCACGTGTTTTGGATTTTGTTCAAGTTAGACCAACAGGTAGATTTTAGTGGAAGGGATCATAGTCATATTTCAGCCATGTTAACAAGCCTAGATTTTGATAAGGGTATTTATTAATTGAATTAACTTTGGATACAAATATGAGTTAAGTGTTGTAAAGTATAATAGAACACTCGCAATCACGGTTTACACACAAAATACTTTCGATATGAACATAGTTGAGACTGTATATGGGATCATATACAAGAACTGAGACGGTCTAAAGGCGACCTACAAACTTAGTTGAATTATAGGAAGTAATACAGAACATCTGTAATAATATCCATATACTGATAAAGTGTGTGACAGCATGAAAACAAGGTGTAATGCTACATGCAAGGGAAAAACACACATGTAAAAATATTAGTGCATTGTACAATTTATTCGCTTTTATTTCGTATTTTTTGCAACAATGTTTTGTATAATAAATTCACCATCTTATTGTTCAAGATTTCTGTATGTGTGTCATTTGCTTGTTTTCATAACTATTGTTATTACTTTATACATATAATTTTATATCATGTTTTACAACTGATGTAAAACTGGAACACGCAATTTATGTGATGTAGTAACAAAAAGTATTGCTCCCTTGTGTTTTGAGTGTTTTTCATGTTAATAATCTGTGGCTTGGGATTTTCAATTGCTCTCTATAGCAATCTAAGTGTTGATGAACAGAAAGAAAATACACTAATTAATATTATACCAAAAATAAATGTAAGTAAATACTGATTATGAATGTTATATTTTCATTTTTCTGAGCGAAATTGGTGATCAATACGATAAGGAATATTTTCTTGACGAAAGGTGCTACAGTGCTTCTAGTTAATTTATACAAAACAAAGGTTAAGTGCACAGGTTAGAAACAACGGTTAAAAACAAGGGATACATTTGAATTTTCAGAGATTAAGTGCAAGTATCTCAATGATGACTTTATTTTTTGAAAGCTGATGTAAACCTTTGGATATAGAACATAGTAGTAAGGACGTTATTACATCTAGATTTTTGAAGTTAATATATAAGGTTCGTTTGAATATGTTCTAATGTATGCATTATTTACTTTTATGCACTATTCGTAAGGGGAAACATTTATAAAAACATTTTCCTAACTAGCATGCTCAAAGACTGAATTTTTACTTTATTTTTTACTTTTCTAAAGAAAATAGAATAGTGAAATTTACTTGGAGCAGTGCAGGTTGTTATGAAAAAAAATCAATACATATAATAACTAGATTGTTGGCTGTTTTATCTTAAAGATATGAGAATAAATGACGAAAACTGAAGTTTTGATGATAACCTTATGGCAATCACAACAGTATATTATATCTTCCCTGTCGAATGATATTCACCATTGTAAACATATTTGGCACTATATCAGAGTTGTTCCATTTAAAACAAATCAACTCACTTAATCAGTTTGATTTATCATATAACTAGATCTTTTTGCAACGTCTATCCGTTATTACTGTTCATTATACAGGGTGGGACAAAAGTTACTATACAGCTGATGTTAGACGATTGGTGCGGTTAGTATATTTGGTATTACATGGCTGGTTCGACAGAAAATATTACATAACTAACTGGAACCAATTTAATTATTATTTCTTTCAGAATAATGAATGGAAATTACTAGACTATGTTCAAAATGTCTGTTTGTTTTAGAACAGAGTCACATTGGGCTGTCTGCTGTGTCCACCGCGAGAAATTGAACCCCGAATTTTAGTGTTGTAAGTCCGTAAACTTACCACTGACCCATCACGAGACAAATTCAAAATGAAACAACTTTGTATTCACTTTGGTTCCATTCTGTATTCAGTATTTTATTTCTAGAGAACAAAAATGATGGCGGCTTTCTTCACAACAATGTAATCACTTGTTTTAAAAATTCTCAAACGTTTTTCTTTTAAGCTACGTCTTCCCACTTCCTGAGAAAGATCGGGACGGCCGTGTCACTGTTTTTGGAATAGCAGGTGAGGAACCACAGTGTAATTAGAATGTCGATATTATAGCTATATAACTAACACAAGATAATTTCAAACAAGTGAATTTTTTCTCTCTCATCACTCATTTAACATCAGCTCACCGGTGCTGAATTTCTTGTTTAGTTCAGTTGCTAAGTTCTTCATGGTTAATGTTTCTTTTAATCTTAGCCACACAAAGAAAAATGCATGAATGTAAATGTCGAAATTGAACAGTTCCAAATTAATGAAAAGGCTGAAAATGAGCAGTGGCTAAGATTAAAAGAAACATTAGCCATAAAGAACTTATCACCTGAACTAAACAAGAAATCCAGCACTGGTGAGCTGATGTTAAATGTGTGATAAGAGAGAAAAATAATATAGCTTTTAAATCTAGCCTAAATAAAAATGTGGGAAGCATAGTTTATGATAACTTTATTAGAGTAATCTTGTATAGGTTTGATATAATGGTACAAGTGGTTTAATACTTAGTATGTAAATAGTTTGTGTTAAGTTTCTTATTAAACAACCAAGTCATGCACGTAAGAATCTACTATAAGGTACAAGTGTTCGAAGATGTAAAGAGCTACTACAGTTAGGGAAAGCACTATTTGAACCTTGGAGTCTATACATTTAACCCACATGTCGTACAAGGTACCGTTGAGGTTAAAAATATCAAATATAGTTATGCTAGCCTCACTTTGAAAACGTTCTCTGAACAGGTGTTATGGACCCAAGACGCCACAAACCCAGGGATTCCTACAGAGCATATGTGACGACATTTGAAGCTCTGTTAGATGATGAAGTTGTCCAAAAGAGAGGTTTATCTTATATTTTTGATCAGGCAGACTTCCGACTCTCGCACTTCACTATTGTTGGGCCTAAAGAACTTCAACTATTGATGTCAACAGGAGAGGTAAAAAGAGTAATTTCTATCCAAAGACAAACATTGTTCATTGCAAAAAAAATGCTATACAGTAACTGTTATGAAAATCTTAAGCTACACTTTTTTGTATTTTTTTTACAACTGACAGCAAAACAGAAGTCTGGATTTAGTTACGAGCTAGTTTCTACTGTTTGAGTAGAGTTTCCCCTTATCTTTGGTATAAATTTATGCTTTGTGGACAATGCTCGTATAGCTTCGTTCACAATGCAAACGAGAGTAATGGTAAGTCACTCTAGAATATCGTCTCGCCATTTAATAAGGTGTTTGAATCTTAATTTAGGCTTAACAATAAGTTTTAAATTTATTATATTATTTCTTCCCTGGCAAGGAAGAACTAGATGAAAATATAGTAGGAACTGTAACTTAGTGTAGAATAGATCGTAAACCTATCAAAGAAGGCTTGTTTCTGAAGATATTGTTTGCTTTGGAAGTAGCTTTAAGATTGTGCTCCAAGAGCCAAAACAATAATTAAATTTTTCTTGAAAAACACTGAATGAAATTGTGAAAATTTAGTACCACCCGATAAAAACATTTTAATAGATACCATTTAAGAGAAGTTTAGTTATCAATAACTTTAGTCATTAGAAAATGAAGTTGGAAAGAGCACCGTAGTTACCAAGACCATATTGTGGGCACTGATTACTTTTATCTGTCATTTTTTTACCTATCAATGAAAAGTATATAGAAGAAACTGGTTGAAAAGTTAAATCGCTTACAACATCAAATGGAATGAATGCTTAATTGAATGGGCTGGGCGTGGCCCAATGGTTAGCATGTCGAATCATGGATCTGCGGGTCAAGAACTGGAGATTTGTTACCTAAGAAAATAAAATAAAACTTGCGCTCCGCACTTTGGGGGCGTACGTGTGTTATAAGGGTGACTGCCAAATTCCAATAGTCCAAGAGTTAGCGATGGGTACGGTTGACTATAGCAACCTTCCCTGTAGCATATCAGTTCAAATACATAGCCTTGTGATTAGGGCGCCCAACTTGCAATCTGCGAGTCGTGGGATCGAATCTCGTCACCGAACATGCTCGCGAAATTCAGCCGTGGGGACAATATAATGTTACGTTCAATCCCACTTTTCGTTGGTAAAAGAGTAGCATAAGATTTGGCGGTGGCTGGCGTTGACTAGCTGTCTTTCATCTAGTTTATCATGTCTAAATTAGGGACGGCTAACCCTCGAGTAGCTTAGTGCGAAATTCAACAAACTATCAGTTCAAAATGAGGGACCACTAACGCAGATAGCCCTTGAGTAAAACAAACAACCTTATATTAATCCCCAGTGAAGAGTGTTTTTTTCTTATCATAAGGATAAATGTACTGTTTAAAACGTTCTAATTTTTACCAGTGCCCTTGTCCTCATTGTTAGAATATTGTCTACACACATTAAAGAACGTTAAATAAATCACAGTGAGCTTGAAATAACGCGTCGTACACAGTACCTTAAAATGTGACACTCCAGTACAACTGTACTTTTCTGCAGGTCATAAATGTACATCAAGGATAAAGAAAATTTTTCAAATAGCCGAATCAGCTTTTAACCAGAACCAGGCTTGAGTTTCGCTGTAAATCAACGATTGATGTCTACAAAAGAGTTAAACATTGTATTTTATTTCTGTTGATGAACCAACAAAGTTTACAAGTTACAATAAAGATAGTACAGCATTGTTGTGTACAATTTGAGTTTCACTTTTAATGTGTACAAGGTGGGGAACATAGTTCACTCTTAATATACAGAGAAACACATACACACTGTTAACTGCTGAAAAGATGCGGAAAGAATAGTCACTGTTATCTATAAAAACGTAACAAAATCCTACCTGTATTACATTGAAAGTGTGACAGGATATTATTATAATCTTTTTATTACGTTCTTAGATAGGACTAAAACCCAAGACCTCTCACAAACCATGCGAGTACTTTACCAACTTAGCCAAAGGGTTAAACTCATAAGCATCTCTTACTAAGGTACTTTTTAACAGCTTCAACTACCGCAGCAGTTGTTTTCAAGAGAGCTAACTCAGTAAAGTTTTCCAGTGATGACTTTCCACAAGATAATTAGCTAGATTACATAGACAACTAATACAGTGGTCAGCATACAGAGCAGTTTCACAATGATAATTATTTACGAAACAGTTAACACTTGTCTATAAACAAACAAGACTATGACAGCTGAATATAGAAAAGGTAATTATGTTGTAGTTATATGGAAGAGAGATAAAACAATATAACGATACTGTTGTCTGCAGACAATTAACACCTTGATACATGCGGCTGTCTACAAAGAAAGTAAAACAATATTAGTTCTCTATGAAACAATTTAATGATATGTTTGTCTGCAGAGAGCTGATACATGTAGCTGTCTACATAGCAGTTAAAACAATAGTATCTGTCTATAAGGCAGTTAGGTTAATAATGTTGTTGATTGAAAACAATTTATACAATATCAATTGTATACAGGATAACTATTACAGTGCTACTTCGTTATGATATAATCAACAATAATAATATGCCTACCTAGAGAGAGAGTTAATACAATGATAGTTGTATACGAAAATACTCATTTTATATTAACTCGAAAATTGAAGTAACAAAATTTTTACAGTAAGCAAGTTCTGGTTTTTAATTACTACAACGATTCGACCCATAGCTACATTCAAAGATACTGTTATTGTTCAGTTCAGTAAATTTATTACTAAACATTAACCTTATATTAACCGTCAACAGCAAAATTAACTTAATGATCTATGTATCAGAAAACAAACGCAAAAAAATAGCTATATTTTAGTAAATGTATATATTATAATTTTAGATAATTTATAACATGTACATAAAAATAAGTAATTATTTTCAGAAAGTTATGCCAATACGTCACAGAAGAATCCACTGGTTGAATATGCCTAAACATCTCCTGTTTATCTACGAACTGTTTAAAAAACTACTGAGTAAGAAGATCCAAGAACGGGTACGTGTATTGGCACATTATTAGATTAATTATTTTATCCACAACAGAACCAATGGGCGTCAGTAAGGTTTGAGAAAAAGCTTAAGATGCTTTAAAACATGAAAATTCTCACAGTTTTACAATTTTTTTTGTTTGTTTTTTTGTATCAAGTATTCAATAACTGAAACAACTTGGAATTTTTACATTCTTGAAATTTTTTCTTTAAACTTACAAAAGATTCAAAGAATGAAGGAGAATGCACAGAATATGATTGAACAAATTAAAATGTTTCTTGTGGAAGAAAGCCTCAATCCAAGTTCGGGTACTCCCTTCCCAGTCTATCCCCAGATGTAAAACACAGTACTATGCCTTATTTGTGTGTTTTCTTTTCTGCTGTTTAGCATGTTAGCTCATACCATTTATAAGGCCTAACGAAGTTTCTTTGCTTTGCCAACTCGTGTTTTTAATACCACAAAGTTATTTCGCGCCCTCAAAACAACACTATTTTTAGGGAATATTCGTAATCGAGATTAATGAGTTTAAACTATACGACAGGAAGGTTTTTCAAGTCAAACTTAGCCAAACTGTTTTATGTTATCATTCCCATTACACTTGGTGTGCTAACACAACCATTACTTAGCTGGTATTTATGACAGGAGGCTTGTTTTGTTTGTTTTAATAAAAAAATCTTGCTGCCAGCATAACCTCTGCTGATATTTACATGACGTTGTTGTGTGATTCGTGACTGAACACGCTGCCGAATACGCAAGTGGGTAAATGCAATTGTAAAAGTAGAAAAGACATTTCTTTGTCTAATAATCTAACCTTTCGCATTTTCCGAGTCGAACATGGTGCTTCTTGCAAACTCACGTGTGCTTTTCCGGCTGAGTAAAAGGGCTATCCTGACAATAATCGTTGTAAAACATTTCCTGATGGTTCAATTTACCACATATGGATAATTTTCTAAGGAAGGAATTCATTCACACATAAAACGTTCGTACACAAAACTGTTCCGTGGCACTTCATATAAAGTTACAAAAGTTAACTATTGTACTAATATTTATGTGGTTGGTGTGAATTCTTTTTTTTTGTTTGTTATATGAAATATGATGTCACTAATTTGTATAAAGCATCAGTTACTTCAGTAGTGGCTATTAAGGGGAACTAAGCTTCTTAGATCCTTTATTGTCTTTAAGGAAATTTTTATCAAAATACATTTGAAAAGACATACTTCTTGACTTCTTTTATGTCAGAATTTAAAATATATTTCTTTGCCAATTGTCCAAGTATAAGGCTTTTTCTTACACTTCTTCATAGTACAAATATGTACTGTGGTGTTGTTAGGCTTAGGATTCTTCTACAGTAGGTGTCTGTGACTTGTTAGCGATAAATTCAACAATAAATGAACAGCATGCACGTCACTTGTTCTCAAAATAATATATATATTCGGAACAAGTTAAACGTATGTACAACAAATTCTTCACACTATGGAGACTACAGGCATATCATAGACACTATATATATATAGTTCTCTTCTTGTTGTCAGAAGTCCACTTAGGCCTATTCAATTGCTTTAGGATTTCAATGAACAAGCCAAACTATCTTCTCCATTACTATCGCATTAGTATTCTGTGTGTGATTCACTTACAATTGTGGCACTGCTACCGTAATCGTTTGGTCTTCTTTCTTCTAAATATCCTCTGTTCCTTTTGTCAAAGTGCACTCAGGTTGATCCAATTACTTTAGAACCACGCTTTGACAGAATAAATAATTTTTCTTATCTCCTTTTCTACCGTTAGTCTTACTCTAACATATTAAACGTTAGACCTATGTTAATCGTTGCGCCTATCACTTCTACGGTAGTTAACTTTACGCCGAATTTTTCCTTGCCCGTAACTTTATTCTCTTCTGCTATTGTCTGTCTGCCTTCTAGAAATCTCTATATTCTCGATGTCAATGTATTGCACACGACGTTCGAGTGTCTCAACATCAGTGACTTATAAACACAACTTCCTACAATCGTCTGCTTTTAACTCTTATTATAACAAAAACTAAACAAAAAAAATAAATAATCAACAATATCTAAACTGAACAGACTTTTATATAATGACATTCTATTTATTTGATGTTTCAGATGGTTGTTCATTGGAACCTTGAGACCCTTCATTCTCATTTTCCTCGAAATATGTTACCAAAGGAATATGGTGGAGAACACACTGTGAAAGAACTTGCAGGTACCTAAATGATAAGTTTTGATGAATAAAGCAACAGACGTATAACGACTCATTTTGATCTCGTTTTATTAGTTAAGATTATTACATTTAGCTCTGATAGTTTTTAAATAGTACAGACTGTCGCATTTCAGATCACCAAAATAAGTTTAAGACATTTAGAAAGCTGAAACTTGATTAACTTCCTTAAGCCTACTTTTGTGAACAAGGCTAATTTTCATGTAAGGTCCTGTAAACGACGAGTAAGGATTTACTGCTGAAAGTTACTATAATAACCTATAGAGAATTCCTAACATATTTTTAAAGATTATCATTACAAAATGTTTCAATTTCTTGAAGATTCCGTAGGACGTTTCTAGCTTTTAGCTTTACCTTCTCCAAGAGGTTTTTAAGTGTATTTTAAAACACCTTGGCAGAATACTACAATGTCAATGTGATGAAAGGGAAGAACGATGACATTACTAATTAAATAACAAATTTAAAAACATACTGAACAAAGTTCATAATATGAAATATTATTGTCTAAATATTAACTACGCCATTTGAGACGAATTTGGATTCTGATTTCTGTTTTTGATAGATATTAGAATATTTCCGTTTTTCAACTAAAGCAGATCAAAGAATCTATGGGTGTAACTAACAATTGCGTTATTTGAGAGTGAATATCCTTTTTTTTGGGGTTCTGTTTCAGTTCGGGTGTCTTTCTTTTTTAACTAAAGCGGATCAAATAATGTGTAAGTGAGAAACTTCAGCACGAGACCAAGTAAATACATATTATGTGTGTGTGTGTGTGCAAGTGTCCCAGTGCATAACCCAAACGAGTTACATGAGCTTGTTTCATCGATGACTCAACGTTAAAATGATTTTCGTTACTCAATGAGAAAATTTGGTTTAACAGCTATCGCCCAGGAGTTAATAGTTTACAAGTCCTACCCAATAGACGATGAAGTAAGTCACCTACCTATATCCGCGCCCCCAGTGGCATGTCTGCGGACTTACATCGCTAGAAACCGGGTTTCGATACCCGTGGTGGGCAGAGCACAGATAGCCCATTGTGTAGCTTTGTGGTTAACTTCAAACAAAAACAAACCTATGTCCTTGTTATATTAATAAATTGATTATTCAGTGGCTAAATGGCATAACATAATTCGATGAAATGAAATATGATGTCACTAACTGGTACAAATGAGCATTAATTTCAATAACTGCCATTAGGGGGTACTAAGCTCCTTAGACGCTTTATTGTCTTTAAGGAAACTATTATCTACGTACATTTCAATAAAAATACTTTTTTCACTTCTTTTGTTTATTTGATTTCTCAAACGGTTGTTCGCTGGACCTTCGAAAGCCTTCACTCTCGTAAGATCTCGCAAAAGTAATACAGCGAAGAGCACACTGGGAAAGAACTCGCAAAGATCTAAGTCTTAAGGCTTAAATAATGTTTGTTTTGCCGTTCGTTACAATTTCTCGCAAAATCAAAAGAAAACTGGCTTGTGTTTTCCAGTGGTGGCCAGAACGATGCTTTTTGGGATACCATAACGTAGATACAAACTAGATATATGAGTTATATGGAAAGAAACTGAAAACAAAAACGTGAATATTCTTAACCGAATAAGAAAAATGATCATTTACTAGTTTTCCATGTCTGTCTTATTGATTAACCACGTCACCAACGTCTCCAATGCCTAGCAGTGACACATCGTACGTCCAAACGCTTGAATAAATTCAAAACGTGCGTTGCAGTTGTCGCATTGTATAATTCAAACCAGTTAAACGAGCTTGTTTAATCAATTTGCATTTTTATATGTGAAGAATGGTCGTATAAGCTAGTTTTTACACTGCGTGATCTAATTCAAAAGCTACGGATTTTTATTATTAATCTAAGTTGTTAGAGCATACTAACATACTTCTTTCTTGGGCATATTTCAGGTCGATGGGTGGAAACGTTACGACAAAAGAGAGATTACTTGTTGTCATTAGATAAAATGCAATATGACGAAAGCAAGAGACCCAGCCGTGTGCCTAACAACGATGGTTTTTAATTTATAAAATAAATAAATTTATGTGTAAAATTACACAAACAGAAATTTAATGAGAAAATATGTTCATATTCTTCTGGTAATACAGTTCTAAAATGAAATGCTATTGCCGTGGAGATAAAAAAAGTGTTTCTTGTGCTAAATAGTTTAAACATTTCAACTGTTTAGTGCAGTATAGCCAACAACAAGAGTGACCAAGTGACCATTCAATATAACATACATTGTAATAGTTGCTTTGATATTAGTTATAAGCTAGCAAAAAATATTTACCCTAAGACTGTTGTAAAGAATATATTTCGTAATAATTCTGTAACTACATATACTAGGGTGTAGTAAACAATGGGGATTGGAATCCTTCAAATGGCGATTTATACACATTTTGGTAACTACGAAAAAATCTGAGTATGGTTTAACAATGAGTTTATATTATTTAGATATATTTGCATATTCAAATTCATAAAAATAGTTACTTACCAACATATTGTTTGTATTCGTGTTGTTCAATCCATGCGTACAGTGCATGTTCGATTTAATCAATGTATGGTTAACATGATGCTTTTAATGTTTACTTACAAAATTCATTTCAATTTGTATTGTAAAATAAATGACCTCAGTTACTACGTGAATTTTTGTTCCTCGTAATTGTATCACCAAAAGAGACAAAAATACAGCTTTCACACAAACAAAGTCTAAAATTCACGTTTATTATAAACTTTTAAACGACAATCAAATATTTTAAATAAAAATGTCGTTAAAACTACAAGAAAGACAACATTCTGAAGTTTCGTCTTCATAACTGTTATGATTCATCCATTTATATCCCGAAAAGAAGAAAAATTAATATTGCCACCTATAGTTCGGTTTACATACACATATATGTATTTGTAGGAAATTAAAACGTCAGTATCAAAATCTGCTAGAAATAATGCGTTGATCTGGTTTTTTTCAACAATTAAGTTATAGCATGCTCAAGAAAATTTTCTAATTTTAATTCACAAACATTTCAAAATCTAACAATCAATTAAGAATGTACGTCTTTATTTAAAATCTTCTTTGAAACAATTCTTTTATAAAACTGCATAAGTAATATTAATATCAAAAAACATATAACTAGTTAAAAATTACTATTTGACAAAAAAAATTATAAAATGGGACCTACGAAAACACAGAATTTTTTTTACTACTTATGCCTACTTGGTTTCTATTACCACAATAATTAACACCTGTTTACAATAAGCCTAATAACAACGTGGTGTTTTCTTATAATCAGTGAAGTTAAAATAGAGAGAGGGGGGTTATATAGTCATTGTTTGGACGAAACATTTAATAATTCTCTTCTTTCTAATTTCTTTGTTTTCCTCAGCTAACATTTCATCATAATTAAATTTGTAACTTTTGGTTTCCTTTTGTTGATTCATGTTCTTAAATTTTTGTCAGACTAATTAATCATAAGATTATTAATACTGATATTGTTATTAATATAAAAGTTTTTGAGTACAAGATACGGAAATAATGGGTATATGCATTTTATTTTAATAAATTGATTTTTAGTTGAAATTGGCAAATCCAGACGGAGTTAACATAACGTGTACCGCTGCGCTCATGAGGACTTGTGCAATAGTTTGATTAGGCCTATATGTAAGTGACTTATTACAAGTGTAACCAGTCTTCTTAACTTTTTTTTTTATGAACCTGTGTATGTCAGTACCGGTCCAAGGCTCTCTGTGAATGCTATTCACTCAGTGTTATTCCCTGATAACTGTTACATCTTTCGCTGTAATACCATTTCACTGGTTCATTTCTCTAAACTATTCTCAGTTTTATATATATGTTAGTTGAATGAGCTGCACTGCGTACGTCAGGCCCTCTTATACATATAGGAAATATGCGAGAGAAACCACAGTGGCACCCCTCGTGGCAACAAATGTAATACCCGTTTAACAACCTTATGCGACTTCACCTTTCTAAGTCATACTGTTTGTGAGATATGACGCTCTGAACTGAGAAACGTTCCTTATAACTACACTGTGTCTTTTGATAATCAACAAATATGTCTTACATGTCTATAGTCTAACTCAGACAGTCTCGCATAACTTCACATCATACCCTTTCCTTGCCAGACCACGAAATTTCATGTCACATGACCAAATTATTATTATATGTTTTAAATAATCATACATGAGCTTAGTATTTATATGTTACCGCTAGAGGAGCCTCGTATCAGTTTCTTATATAAAAATGACTCATTTAATATATGCTACAAGGCAAGTGAACTAATGTTTTTAAGCCAAATAAAAATTTAGGCGAAACGATTTGTTTGTTTTTGAATTTCGCCAAAGCTACACGAGGGCTATCTGCGCTAGCCGTCCCTAATTTAGCAGTGTAAGACTAGAGGGAAGGCAGCTAGTCATCACCACCCACTGGCCAACTCTTGGGCTACTCTTTTATCAACGAATAGTGGGATTGACCGCAACATTATAACGTCCCTACGGCTGAAAGGGCGAGCATGTTTGGTGGGACGGGGATTCGAACCCGCGACCCTCAGATTGGGAGTCGATCGCCTTATCCACCTGGCCATGCCGGGCCTAGCCGAAACGATAGAAGTAAAAATACATAAACGATAAACAAAACCTTACCTAAAGATAAAATGAAAATCGCTGCTTCACAATTACTATTATAATATATTACAACTTTTCTACGATTTTCACTTTCAATTATTACTTTGAACAACTTTATTTCTATTTCTAGCTGGGTTTATCACTATGCTGACATCCGTACTACTTCGGCAACAGAACCAGAATAGAGTGATTCAAAGTACTATTGTCCCTCGGTGAGACAGTGGTACGTCTACGGACTTGCAACGCTAAAATCGGGGATTCGATTGCCCGTGATGAACACAGCAGATAGCCCAATGTAGCTTTGCCACAAAATAAACACACATGCACACCAAAGTGCTATTAACGGAACATGTGGGTGAAATACCAAACACTTTACTATTCCTTTTTCAGTGGTATCAGGATTTTTACAGTTTTCCAAATGTCTCTTTCAAATGTCTGTATTTTAAATGTACTTTCTACTGAACAGTTCTTGAGCCGGATCAGCTTTACCTAATACAGCCTGATATAGGTAAATTAAGCTATTATTAATTTCTTCCCAGTTTCGAAAGCCATTTCTGACCTTTTCTCTCGAAGAATTG